GGGTTTGAACTGCCAGCCTTTTGGTTAGCAGTTAATAAGTGCCTCAGGCACTATGCTACCAGAGCTCCTTTTGCCAATAGGCTAGCTACACTAAATAAATATTCACCAGCCAAATTACATAGGTCTTAGTAATACTTTTTTTAAAAAGAGGAACTTTGACAAAAAAAATGAATGGGTAGACTCTTTAAGTAATACATGTTGTTGTTGTTGTGTTGTTGTTATGTACCATCAAGTTGGACCTGACTCATAGTGACCCCTCCTTGGGTTTCCGAGGCAGTATCACTACGGAAGTAGATTGCCCATCTTCCTTCCCAGGAGTGGCTGTTGGTTTTGAACTGCCAGTCTTCTAATTAGCAGTCAGGTGCCTTAGGCACTCTGCTACCAGAGCTCCCTGATAGGATAGTAATACATATGATTATTATTAAATAATTTTAACATTCTGATGAAAAAGGGGAAAAGAAAAGAAATCCGCTAAGTGTTTACTCAATTTGGAAAAGTGATCTACCATTAAAGCTAAACCTTGTTAAAAGTCAAAGACAGAAATTTGTAATTTGCTGGTTGTTGACCTAGCAAGATGGCAGACTAGGCAGAAAGACTGCACAGACCCTCTTCAACAAAGAAAAGGGAAACCAATTAACACAGACACAGAAGATAATCCTGGATCCCTGAGCCTTGAAGGGAAAGATATAGAAGTGGACTAAACCCCAACCAGCAGAAGAATTTGCATGAAAATACCAAAAAAGGAGACAGATGGAGCTGTGGTCTGGCAGTGATCCTGAGCGATTGTGACTACACAGACAGCTTGGAGATTCCCGAGCGGTGGTAGGACCTAAGAATTAACCAAAAATCACCCTCCTAGCCAGAAACTTCACGGAGGACTGTGCATGGTGTCTGAGGAACAAACAGAGAAGGTGAAGAGAAAGGTGGGCTGAGCTGTGGAATTTTGCAGGTCCGGAGGGTGCCGCCATTTTGAAGGTTTAAAAATTGGCTTGACTATTTTGGATATTTAAAGAGACAGCACTCTCGCTGATTCCTAGGGCTTAAGAACATGTTCTGCTTTCCAGCAACCCCAGGGACACTCGGGACTTACAAGACTGAAAAGGTACGATACTCCACTTGTTACTCTTATACCCCACGCCCACTTGGTGAAGGGAGGTGTGGCCATCCCCCACTCCTACCTACCTTCTGGGCCCACAGGAACTCCATCACAGTCTGTGTGCTCAGACGGAGCCTGGGTGCCCTGTCCTGTCCTCCACCGATTTTTTTTTCTCCTTTTCTTATTTTTATTTTTTTATTTTTTGCCTTCTTTTTTTGTGGTGATTAGTTTGCTTGTATTTGTCTGTTTTAAAAGAAATAATATTATTAATACTTTTGTCCTTTTTATTATTATTCTTAATCTTTCCCTCCCAGGTCCTAGTTTTCAGCATTTTTTTCTTTTCCCTGTGCCTGGTTGAAATTTTTATTTTTTTAAATTTAAGTTTTTTTTTTTTTTCTTTTCCCCCTTTT